TGTCTTTTCCTTGTTCAGCATCAACAGTGTTGTGTCTAAGAGTCTTCCAGCCTGGTATCTTATTCACTGAAGAGTTTTAAATATGGATATATGTGTGTTAGACCTGGAAGTGGTCCCATGCAAAATGTAATGAAGCTGGGCTGCTCTGACCTCTGAGCTCCAAGGCGTTTGTTTTGGCTCCCTCACAGAAACCTGCAGTATACAAATTGGCACTTGTAAAAATGTTCAGATAAATCAAAAAATGGCATGGGGCGGAAAAAAAGTTTCAAACTGTTTCTTTTGGGATCCTTGGCCATGCTATTTTGGATGTGTGTTTTTGTGGCAGCAGGCAGTTTGTTGCTTGAAGAAAGCTGAAATATTCTAGGAAGTCGGGGCTAGCTGGATTTAGATCTCAAGTGATGCCAAAACTAATATAGCCTGTAACTAAGTGAGAGTGACTTTGCACAGGGAATGTCAGTCACCCGCAGCTTTGTCTTACATTTTCATAGGAGCCTTAAAAAAAAAAAAAAAAAGGCAAAACACAAACAGAGCCCCGGCAAACGCGGGAGCTGCTCCCATCCAGTGGAGCTGCGGTTTCAGTGCTCCTCATCCTCAGCACAGGGAGGGGCTGGATGGGTGGATGGGGATGGGATGAGAGCAGGGAATGAATGCCTGCGGTGCTGGGAGCTGGGCTGGCCTGGAGTGCCCTCTCTTGGCTGCTGCACACCTCACCTTTTGGGAGAAACAACGCAACAGCCAGCCTGGTTTGTCACTTTTCCTTCCCAGAGGTCAGCAGCACTGGTTCTGTCTCAGGTTTGCTTTCTGAGTGTGGGTTTTTGGTGCCCATTTTGGTAATTAAAGCCGCAATAAAGCTGCAGCTCCAGGGTTGCACGCAGGACTCTCTGAACTCCTGGGACTCCTAACATTTTAGCAGAGCTCAGGTTTTTAAGAGATTTCACACTGCCCCAAACCCAGGCATCCCAGAGGCAGCAACTGCCGTGGCCCCTGCCTGACTCTCCACTGGTAAATGAGTCCAGAACAAACGGGGCTCTGAAAATAAGGAGAAACATTTGACACCTGGACTCCAGGAAACGTTTGTGGGTTTTGATGAGGAGCGGGGTGGGGGAGAGAAGGGAAAACCTATGGTTCAGCATAGTTAAATATATGGTGTGCTAAGTGTGAATAAACTGTGGCCATTTTAAACAAGTTCCTAGAATCCATGGCACAGAGGGGAGGGCAGCAGCTACAGCACAGGAGTTCTCCAAGGGTTACCTGGGGGCCACTGTCCTGGGCTGCTGCTGCTGCATGTGGCACAAGTGGCAAACCTTCCAACATGTCAGTTTTCTCTTAAAAATGAGCTTTTTGGCTCCAGGGGCTTTGTCTTCTCACTGCTTTGCAGTCTTAGTATTCTCTTCATTGCTCATTAATGATTCATTGGTGTAAAGGAATCCTTCAGGAAAGGTAAAAGTTCCTCTTTAAATGTGCCAAGGCCCATTCATGACAATCTTGGAGGTCTTTTCCAGTCTTAATGTTTGTGTGATTTGTGCTCATTTTAACATGGCCAGTTCACATGGGATTGTCCATTGCACTCCCCTTGTGCTCTAATACAAAGCCATGTGATAATTTCTTGAAATACTGAAATTGTATCACTTCTGGGTTTGGGGAAGAGTTGCAAACTCCATCCCAGTAAACAAGCCTTCACTTTAAAGTGGAGGCTGAAATCTGCTCCTGCCTGCTGGTGACTAAAAATCACTTTGAGCCAAGTGAAGTGAGTGTAGAGCCTCGGGGTAGGTGTGCAGTCACTCACACTGGTGCTCTGTGGTAACTTGGAATGGTTCTGGCTGCTCTGTTAACGTGGAGGCAGCCCTGAAATCCCACTGTGGGGGTGAACTTGCCTTTTAACTACACTAACTATATACAAACTGTACCTTTTGCACTCAGTATAGAAGGAGAGGATCTGTTTTTCATCCTGCTGCAAGCACTGCTTTCTTTCAAAAACAAGACAACAGCCCTCACGGCCCAGTTGCACTCAGCATTTAGAAAATGTGAATTTGGTGTTTGCTGTGTTGTTTTAGCAGGTGCTTCTTTAGGCTGTGCTTGGGGTCGAGGGTAAATCATAAGGCAAGGTTTCAAAAAAAATCCCAGTGTTCCTTTGGTTTAGATAAGGAAAGCACAGTGCAATCCATGGTTGTGGTAGAATATTAAATTACAGAGAGAGTGTGGATATACATGAATATGGAGAGAATATGGATATACATGATTACACCTTGCAGCTCAGTGGGTCTGTGCCTTTCTTGTGCAGCTTTTGTTGCACTCCTCGTGGCAATCCCATCGTGGTTGAGGCACTGGTGAGCCCCGAGGTTCTGGCCCTGCTGGTGCTGCTGCTGAGCGCTCCCTGTGCAGCTCATCCCGCTGCTCTCTCCCTGTGCAACAGCTCCCTCTGCTTGAAATCAGCAGTGGAATTGTTTCCTGCTTGCCTGCACAACAGTTTTTAACGTGGGCCCCCTTTTTTAAGATCTCTGCTGCTCTTCATGGAGCAATTGCAGTGCATGGTGTGTGTTGTGAAGCAGGGAAAAACAACCACAGTGTCCTCAAAACTGTTCTGCCTCGAGCTGCTGCTTTGCAGGATGTCTCTTCCTTTTGGAACACTTCTTTCAGCTAAATTATCTCCTACCAAAACGTGATGATTTACTGAGCAAAACTGTTTTTATTTCAGTGGTGACTTGAAGCAGGACTGCTTCTCATCAGAGATGTGGTAGTTGGGCCACTGACCCTGCACAGAAGCTGCTGATGTTGAGAGTCCCATGTCCTGCTTAAGTGGTTCTGATCCAGAATCCAAGAAATAACTGATTTAGATCAGACAGAGCAGGGGTTTGAACCTGGTTCTGCCCCATCCTCAGCCAGCACCAAAATCACTGGGCCAGTCCTTGACTCACAGAATTTTGTCAGCTTTTCTGCATGGGTGGGGGTGAGCGCTGGGTTTGTTTCGTTCACTTTTTATCAATAGAGCTAAGCCAGCAAAAGTCATATTATAAAAGCTGTTGTGTCAGCAGAGGTGTTGTTTTGCTGAGAGAGCATTCACCCATTCAGGGAACCAACACAAACCTCCCTGGCCACGGCAAGATGAGCCCATGGTAGGAAAACTCTCTGGTTTGGTTCTGCAGCAAAGCCTCCCTGATGTGAGCAGTGCCTTGCTTGCTGGGAAGGGCCTCTCTGGATCCTGGGTCTGCTGAGGTGTCCAGAAGGTTATTTCTAATTTCCAGAAGGTTATTTCTGATTTACAGTGGAGCAAACCCCCAGATTAAAACCAATTTACAAGTTTGTGCTGGTTCCAGGGTGGTTGGGGTTTGCTGGCAAGAAAAAGGCATCAGTAACTTCAGTTTTCCACATCCAACACTTAAAGCTCTTTTTTTCCTTCCCATTTTGGAATCCCTTTGGATTCCTCTTCTGAACTTGCTGGGCTTTGGTTTGTTCCTGGAAATCTCCTGAGGGGATGCTGCTGGAAGCCCAGGGAATCCTCCCTGAGCACCAGGTGCAGCAGGTTTGGGCACAGACAGCTCGGGCACCTTGGCACAGGAGGTGAGCACAGGGAGCCTGCTGGGCTTGGCTGCCAGGACCTGACACTCGGGAGGAAACATCTTGTGTGTGCACTGCGGATAAATTGTAAAATTATAAAATTGTAAAAGGGCAGGATCATCGAGCAGCAGAACGGGAGAGAATTGTTGCTGATCTTTATTTACTCGAATCCAGCCCCTGCCTGGCTCTTCCTGCTGAACTCTAATTTCACTTCTCTAATTCCAGCCTTTTACAGATATTACAGGCATTGCCTCATATGTTTGCACATACCTTAAAAAACATGTGCCCTTGGAAAGCAGTGTATAGTCATATAAAAATAAAGAGCTTAAAAAGCATTCCTGTTTTCAAATTAACACTGAGGTGCTGAATTCGTGGTGGTCTTTGTGATTTGAATTTTGCCCTTTTTTTATCCCTCCCATGCCCTGAATAAGATGCAGGTCCTGAGGGAAAAATAGTCCGTGATTGTGTATTTGGAGGCCCAGTGCAAGCAAAGAGCATTTCTGAACTTTATGAGCCCTTAGCAAGGGGGAGAAAGGCTATAATTGCAATCTTAAAAAAACAAATGAGGAAACAAAAAATATATAAAACAATTAAAACCCCATATGGATTTTTTTGTATATCTTTCTGCCAGTATATAATAATTTATAATTTTATTGGATTGAGAATAATTTTTTTAATGAGTGAAGGCATGATAGAAATGTTACAGGAGACAAAGCAAAGGCTAATACAGGATAAAATATTAAGTGAAGTGGATATCTTTGCATCAGTTTACAATGTGTATAATATTTTGTGCTTGACACTCTCTGTATCCACCACTGCAGTGTTCCTTGCCTTCAGTAATAATCTTGGTTACTCTTATGTTGCTCTCTCCTGTTCCCTGTTAAGCTGGAGAAAATGTCACTTCTGAGTTGTCATGTGGAGTCGACAGAGCAGAAACGCTGCAGTCCCACACCCCACATCAGCTGCCATTTCCTCAATATTTGGGGCTTGCATTTGAGCCTCAGATTTTGAATTGCATTTCTGACGTTGCAGTGGTTCCTTCTGCCATCATTTCTGCTGCTCTGGAGCCCTTGGGTGACGTGCAGAGTGGTTATTTTCTGTGACATTAGCGCGTCCCAGGCTGGATGGAGGCTGGTGGAAGGCTGCCAGTGTTGTTGTTCTATTTGCAGCTTGGCCTGGCTGTGCCTGTGTGTGTAAGGAGAGGACAGGCAGCGTATCAGTCACCTTTCAGATCTTAACATTTCTTAATGGATTAGGCAGGTGATGGAATATCTTCCTTTTTGCACAATCCAAACCTTGGCAGTGTTGGCAGACAGCGCTTTTTGAACGTCTTCAGTCCCGTAGCACCAGAGGGTGAACGTGCTTGAGTGCTCCTTACACACCCCAAACAAACATCATCTTTCAAGGCCTTCACCTGGGGGTGTTTTTTGTTATTTCCCCCCCAGGACCCCTTGGATCCAGCGGGAACAGCCATAGTGATCAGCTCCCTGGTGCCTGGTGGCGTGGCCGAGCGCGGCGGGCAGATTTTGCCGGGCGACCGCTTGGTGTTCGTCAATGAGAAACACCTGGATGGAGCCACCCTGGCAGAGGCCGTGGAAGTGCTGAAATCTGTGCCCCCAGGGACTGTTTCCCTTGGGATCTGCAAGCCTTTAGTGGTAAGAACTGGTTTTAATTTTTATTTTTTTTTTCTTGTTTCATCCCATGGGGTTTGTGGGGAGAATTCGGCGTAGCGCACGTGTGCGTTTGGGGAAACAGCTGAGCTGCTGTGTCTTGAGAGGACCAAAAATCCTGGCAAATGTATCCAAAACCAGCATCCTCAAGTGTTGGAGATTTTTTCAGGGATGGCCTAGAAGGCAGCTGTGAGGAGCAGGTTCTCACAGCCTGCTTCTGTGAACAGCAGAGGTTCTCAGGTTATTTTTAACTACAGGTAAAAGTGGCAAACATGAAGGCCTTGAGAGCCTTGCACATCAGAGTTCTCAGGCAGCTTTCTCATAACAAGTGGATGTTCTATCTTTGGCTGTTTTGGGAAAGCAAGAATAATTTTGAGAACCCAAATCTTGGTATTGGAAACATAAGGAGGAGTTGGTGTGTTATCTCTGACCTGTTGTGAGCTCAGATTTTGCAATATGCATGAACTTGATTAACACTGTTATAAAAGGTGACTGATTGATTAATAAATCGGAGTCGATGGCTGACCAATGCAAGGTGGGTCGCTCCCTCCAACTTCAATACTCAAGTTCCTCCTTCAAGAACATCCACGTGGAGCTGGGAGATGTGCCTGGGCAGACCCGTGTGCACAGGTGTAACGTGGTTCCAGCACTTCAGCAACCCAGTTAAACGTGTGCTGGAGCCCATTTCTCTCTCAGACACTACTGAGGGCTTGCTTGAGCTCCATTGACATCAAAGAAAGCGGCTCTGTTTGAAGTCAAGACTGTAAATTCAGGCAGAATTTCCCTTTTCTGGAATCAAGGCTTTGGAACAGTAGTTTACTGGGGAATGCTGCAGTATTGTTCATCAAGGGCACCCAGGCAAAATTAATTAAAGCCCCAGTTAACAGAAAGTGCTTGTAATTCAAAGTGGTAGAGGAGTTGTGAAATAGGAGTGTAGGAAAGCTGTTGAATATATTATTTCCTTTCCTAAAAATTGGTATTTCATTGTTCATGTCCTTGTATTTGTCTTGCCTTCCTACTCATCTCTTTAGGTCTCAGTGCATCTGAACCAGTATGTTCAAAGAATAAAAGCTGTTGACTTCTCCATTTTTGAATTTCTATTTTTATAATTCTTTTCCAGTGGCTGGTTCTCCTTCTCCCTGTTAATTTATTGAAAGATGTGGGATTTTTTTTTTGTCATTTTCCTGACTCATTGTTTGGATTACCTTTTTCAGGGAGACAGCAGAGAGGAGGAGAGAATGCACGGTGTGGAAACCAGCAGCATCAAAAGCTGCCCTGGGTCTCCAGAACCAATAGATAACACAAATTTCTCAGTAATACTTGAAGCTCCACAGGTATTTGTTTACTTTTTTTGGTTCAACTCCAGTTTATACAGACAGGAAATGATGTTTTAAAGTAAAAAAATACAGTATGTTTTTCAGATAAGGCTGAAAGTATTGCATTCCCTCTAAGAGCAAACTGTGCCAAGTACATTGGGAGCACTTACCAATGCAGCTCCCAGACTGCCTTATCAAATTTATTATGTCATTAAAATACCTTGGGTTACCTTGGATATGAAATAGGAATGCTGTGTTGTTATTATAATCAGAAGTGGTGGGCTCAGAAAGTAAAGTATGGAAGCAGAATGCTTTTAATTATCATGAAGCAAAACAAAAAAGTAGTTCAGAGTATAAGGCACTCCTGAAATACTTTCTTCTTCAGAGCCTTCTAATGTTCTCTGGAGTGATTTCTTTACTCTTGCCTCAACTCTCCTCGTCCTTACTATCTGAGAAATAATTCTGTTTATTGTGGGAGGATGTGGCATTAAAGATAGTGAGAAACTCAGATACCAGGGTAATAGGCAATAATATTGCAGTTCTCACCAGTGCAGAGCTGGAGAGATGTGGATATCTTGTAACTTTCATCTGTTCTCAAATGCTTTGCAAAATTCATGCTGGTAAATGTATTCTTTTTACACCAGAAAATACAACACATAAAGGATCGTGCAGAACTCCAACACAGGAAGAAAACTAAATTCCAGATTTTCTTGTAGCTGAACATGTGTATCTGTCTCTGGATGCAAAACTGTGTTTAATGCTGAAATGGTAGATTAGAAGCACCAAAAGGAGAAGTATTGTAGGGTAGATGTGGGTATACTGTGAAGAAATTAGCCTGGATGATGATGAATGGTATTTACTGATTTTCACAATGTAAAATGGCATTTGTTGTTTTCTGGAGGCATGGCAGATGTTGCAGAGAATTTATCCTCTGCCAGCTTAGATTGGTTTTCTGCTTCCTAAATAAAACCAATGTCATTAAGTATTTTAAAAGAAAACATTTTACCTTAAAGTCCTGAAACTGGAACGATCAATTTGGACAAAACACCCGCAGGGGAATTTACTTGCATTTTGTTTTACCCCATGTGTGACAGCTTTGGTAGTAGCCAAAATTATTTTTTATTATCTTACCTGTGTACACAGGTAGCCAGGAGTGGTGTGTTCTGCTGGCTCCCACTCTGAGGCACTGGCAGCCAGAATTTCAGCCCCAAAATGACAGAATTTGAGGATTTTGTTTGCTCCAGTGTCGTGTTTGCAGCATTCCCTGTGGCGTTGGTGGTGTCTGGTGCTGCAGTGCAGCAGTCAGGGAGGATGCAGAGCAAACTGCTGGGTCAGGGACACAAACCCTGTGTGGTTCTGGGCAGACACAGCTGATTTATGTGCCCTGGACCTGGGGAAGTGTTGGGAGAACGACGCTGCAGGAGCCGAGGGGAATGGAGTGAGCATGGAGAGAATCAGGATCTCTTCAGCCTGGGGGTTTTGTGAGCAAGAGGTACACAGATCAGATGGATTAAAGGGACATTTAATGCTAATTAAATTAATAAAATGGGCTGATTTCTGGGTTGCTGGTGTTCTGCTCTGGTGCCAGCTATTGGCTGCATTGTTTCCTTATGCTCCTGCCTCTCTCCTGTTTTCTCTCCTGCCTCTCACTTGAGCTGTACAAACATCTTGGCAGTGTCTGGGGCTTTCCTTCTGTATTTGTACAAATGTGACCAAACAGGATCCTGACACCGAAGGTCAGAAGTGCTGCAGAGCCGTGGGGAGCCTGGGAAGGGGCAGGAAGCAGAAACAAAAACATTTTGAGGAAGGAGCCCTGGGTCTGTCCATTGCTTTTGGAGTCTGGGGGCTCGGGGTGTTGAAGTTGGGGTTGGGAGTTCTGTGGGCCACAGGGATTTGGTGGCCTGAAGGAAAAGAGGGGAAAGCTCTCAGTGTGTGGCAAAATTCTGGGATAAGTGCAGGGCATGAAATCCCAGCTGCCTGTGCAGCCTCACTGAGAGCCAATGAACAGCATCCCATTCCATCTGGGACAAACGGGAGTTGTTGGGAGCTGGGGGAACACGTGACAAATCCCAGAGAAAGAACTGCTGAGTGAGATCTTTCAGAGTGGGGTTTTATACCTTTTCCCTCGGTTTTGTTGTTTTTTGGTTGGTTGTTCTGTGGTTTGAGCACTGGAAGGTAATGAATGGTCATTTATATCCTTTTTTTTTGGGGGTATGTGGGTCTTCCATTTCCCCTCTGCCCCAGGTTAAAACTTGGATGGGATATCCAAGGTAGGGGCAAGCAAGTATAGCTTTGATTTGGGGTTTTTTGAGGGGTGTTTAAGTTGCTGACAGTGTTGCATAAGCAAACTCTTGGGCTCTTTATTTAGCTGATAGCATTTCAAGAAATATTCATGCATTCATAAAGCAGCAGCAGATATATCTGAGGCACAGATATACTTTAACTAGATTTATATGTACTCTTTCCTATGGCTGTTTCAGTGTTAATTAATAATTTCATTCCCTAACTTCAGGCCAAATTGGTTTTTCCAAATGGCTGCTGCAGCATCTAAGTTGTGCGACTTAAATTTCTTTATATTGAAAAAAAATAATTGCACTGTCTACTTTTGGTGTTAAAATCATAAGTCGGAGAGTCTGTTTTCTTTTAGAAAATGCAAAAGGTAAAGGATTTTAAAAATCAGGATATAGTTTTAACAGAAAATGAAGCATAGCTTTAAAAGGGTGGAAACATGGCGTAAAATCTGTATTCTTTTAATGATCTCTGCAGGGTTTCAGGGACGAGGTGCCTTTCAAAGAAGAGCTGGTTGATGAGCCCCGTGTGGACTTGGGAAGGTCCTTTCAGCTTTCTCAGAAGGACGAGGAGTATGGGCAGGAGTCCTGGGAGATGTGTGAGTTCCTGGCAGTCGGAGCGCAGGGCGTGGAGCAGGAGCGGGAGATGCTGGTGGACGAGGAGTACGAGGAGGATCCCGACTTCCTGAAGGGGGATGATGCAGCATCAGGTGCAGAGGAGGCAGCCTCAGACAGGAACCTGGACACTGAACCATGGGCAGAGCAACTGGAGGCTGAGGAAACACAGGATTTAAGATCCAGTGTTAGCCTGAGTGCCAAAGAGTCCCTGGAATATCCATTCAGGAAAGATCAAGTGGTAAGGAATGCTGTGCTGAGCACAGGTCCCTCAGGGCAGACTCCAAAACTGAACCCTCAGGACTCTCTCTAGGGTGTTTATTACTAGAATTTAATTTATTAAATTTAGTTTTATTACCAGAATTTAATTTATTAAACTTATAAAATAGATTTTATTGACTTGTGTACCTCTAGCAGACACCAGTCTATCCTTCTGTACATTTTGGAAGGTTTTTTAGGTAACTTATTGTCTGTATATTTACCTGCTGGAGTGAAATACATGTATTGGTGTATTTACAGACATCCTGAATTTGTCTTTTTACCCAAGAACTTGTGAGTTTGGGTTTTTTTTTTTGGAAGCTGTGCTGAGATGGGGCATGTCAATAACAGCAGAATGTCACTTCATAGGTTTGAGTGGTTCAGAGGCTTCAGTGAAAGGAGCTCCCTCTTTTCCTTATTTTTTTAAACCCAAATCAGTTCCTTCAATCAGATTGTGTATTTGAGTAAAAAATGATAAGGTGGAAGGAATTGTGGCAAGGATAGTGGTGGATTAAGGAGTGGGAGAAGACAGGTTCAGGTAAACTGCACAACTCTTATTTGGACATCTTTCTCAAGTACTGAGAATTATTTTTTCCTTCTGATTCTTTGTTCATCCCCTCACCAAACAAAAAGCTGATATTATCAGCCTCCCATGCACCAGCTTCTGAGGCATGTGTGCTTTTACATGAAAAAAAATGGAGTGGAAAAGCATTTGACATCACAGCCACAGAGAAATTCAGGTTTTGTTTGGCTTGTCCCCTTAAGCAGTATGTGTACAAACAGATAAAAAGAAGTTTCTACTGACAGTTTTATACCAGAGTGCACAATATTAAATTTATTTGTTTGTTACTTATAAAAAAAAATGAGCAAGAATAAAGAAATTTTTGTCTGAATTACAGGTGAGGAGAAAGATACAGTTGCTGTATATTTCAATTGCACATAACATTCCTCATGCCTCTTCTTAATGCAGTGCATAAATGAGCAGTTAGTATTTAAATGAGCAGTTAGTATTTCATAGTTACCTGAATAAATATGAATGTGGCTGAGGAAATGTGTGTGTTTGCTGTAAAAATTAATGTTCCTGTCAAACACCCCTGTGTAAGTTAATACCATTGCTTTCTAACTTTAATTACTTCTTTTCTCCTCTCTGAAGTGTGAAGAGAATGCTGCTTTAAGGTCACACATTTCTGGAACCACATCTCCAAGCAGCCACCAAAAAGACATATTTGATACTGAAACTACCCAGGCAGAAGGGAAAACTGAGATGAATTTAGGTTTGTAAGAAGGTTTCTCTTTATCTCATCATTTCGTATTTACAAATTTCAATTTTTTAACCAAAACAAAAATACTTTCAAATGAGAAAATATTCAAATCAAGAGTTCTGCAGGCTCAAGACTGTCTGGCATGAAATGGGTCTCAGCTTTATAATCTTGCTTCCTCCTCCAAATCTGACCAGTGATAAATAAATACAGAAATAAAGTGACATGCTCTGGAGGTGATATAGCACAACCAGAAATCTACAGGTGATCTGTGTGGTAGAAAATTGCCCCAAATCTTGAATTTTGGATCTGTGCTCAGATTTCTCCTTGTCAGATGGCCACAGATGGGTGGTTGGGATTTGGTGGATTCATCAGAGAAATAACTTTATCAGCCTGCCTGGAGTGGCACTCCCTGCTTGGGAGGAAGGAGCTCCAAGCCCTGTCCAGACTGACCCTGAACACATTGGGAACCTGGTGGGATACAGAGTTTAATTCCAAGGGTGAAATAATTGGTGGGTGCCTGGACGGAGGAAGCAAAAATTCACATCTTCCCCCTTTTTCACATCTTCCCCCTTTTTCACATCTTCCCCCTTTTTTCACATTTTCCCGCTTTTCTTCTTCAGGGACAAAGCTTCAGAGTGACTCCAAAGGACCTGAGCTTGCTGCTGATTCAGAAGCAGCTGGAAAGGAAGCCCTGAAAGAGGAGAACTATGTTCTTCCCAAGAGCCAGGATTCTGGGAGAGTAACCACCTTGGCTCAGCCTAGAGCAGCATCAGGCGGGTATGGTGGGAGATTTCAGGTTTTGAAAGGATTCATTTAATAATCCTAACTGTCCTCTTGCTTTACTCAGCTGAATGATGATTCAGGGCTGTGTGGAATGCTCAGACAGACATAGAGCTCTGTAACTTTATGTTCTTCCCAAGAGCCAGGAATCTGGGAGAGTAACCACCTTAGCTTAGCCTAGAGCAGCATCAGGCAGGTATGGAGGAAGATTTCAGGTTTTTGAAGACATTAATTTTATAATCCTAACAGTCCTCTTTACTCAGCTGAATCCTGGTTCAAGGCTGTGTGGAATGCCCAGACAGACACAGAGCTCTGTAGCTTTCACAGGAGATGGAGTTTGGCTTAAAACCCGAAAACTTCCCATGTTTCCTCCCTTGAATATTGGACAGAAATGTGCAGCATTGCAGTGAGGGCAGTGTGGGGGAGCCTTTACTCATGGCTCCTTCAGGCACTCTCCTCCTGATTTTCCCTTCCCTTTGTTCCTCCTTTTGGGAGGAGCAGAATTCAGATTCTCAGGCCTCTGCAGGAAACTTCAGTGGTGCTGAGGAGCCTTGAGCTGGCATTGCTGTGGATATTGGCTTTATCTGTCCCAGTCTTCCCCCACCAGTTTGGGTGGTGGAGCTTTTGGGGCCTTTGATTCCAATCCTCAGAACTCCCCTAATTTCATCTGAAATCCCCTCTCAGAGGAAAAGCAGCTCCACAATAAGGTAGAGAGGATTATTCTGTAGGGTTTAATGGAACACACACAGGATCTGTTCTCCCACTTGGATCATGATCTGCTTACTGCTTTTGGCATGTTTATATCCCTCTCCAAGCATCGCAGCATATTTATCAGAAAGTAAATGTTAATTGCTTAAATAGTCATTTCCAGTGAGTAAATGCAGTGCAGATTTGTGTATCACAGAGCAGCTTATAAATTTGGTCTGCCCATCATGTTTATTTCTGGAGCATTCCTTAAGTACATTTAAACCTAAATACAAAAATTCCTGTCTGGTCTGTTGACTCTGTACATTTGCTTTAAACTGGGCAGTGTGAGAAGGTGTTGCTGTCTCTCTGCCAGATACAAAATATGTGAGGAATTGTGACCTGGCATGGGTGATGCCTCTTTTCTTTTTTATTCCTTTGCCCCAAATTAGTGAATTACCCGAGAGAGAAGAAGGAGAAGGAGAAGAAACTCCAAACTTCAGCCACTGGGGACCACCACGAATGTATGTTCGTATTTTTCCTTCCCATTTACCTCATGTCTTTTTTTTCTCTGAGCCACATTAGTTCTTCTTGGGTGTTTTTTTTTCCCTCTCCTCCTCTGCCAATAACTTTAGGGTACCTGTGTACCTTGGGCTTTCCTGAAGACAGGGAATTTTTAACAGATGTTCAGCAGAATTCTGCCTTCTATTTATACAGCTGACTTGGGAGAGCTTGGCTGGTTTAGGCTGTGGATGACCTGCAAGTTCTTGCTCATTTAATAACTATTAGGTGTGAACAATGCACACAGTGCTGGGCTGTCTCCCTTTCCAGGGGTTCCCTGCTAAACCCCCATGGCAGGATTCCAAATTGCCAAACCAACTTTTTTAGCCACATCCTTGTTGTATTGTTAACGTTTTTAGGTGAATTGTTTTTATGGTCCCAAGTAAAATATGATCAGAAAGTTCCTGCTTGAGCTGATGAATATGCACTGAAGTCAGTGTTCAGAAAGGTGTATGAAATACTCCATTATTTGTCCAACGTGCCACTTGCAGGGCTTCCCATTCCCAGACACTTTGCTCAGGCTGAAAAGGGGATGAGTATTTACTTGAGGATCTGATTTTCTCTGAAGTAAAAGCCTCTGCCCAGTGGGCAGGGATTGGCAGCAGAATTTTGCTCTTTTTGTGGGGCGAGATCTGTTCAGTGTGAAAACTCAACTCTGTTGAGAGCAATCTCAGCTTCTGACTTTGTCCCTTTACTCTGTTAAATCTTCTTGAAAGACCAGGAGCTTACATTTATTTAAGGCTTTGCATTTGTAGTTAAAAAAACCCCAAACTGTTTGAACTCTTGAAACTACCACACTTTTTTTTTTCAGTGTTGAGATCTTCAGAGACCCTGAGGTGTCTCTTGGAATCAGCATTGTTGGTGGACAAACTGTCATAAAGCGCCTGAAGAATGGAGAAGAACTTAAAGGGATCTTTATCAAACAAGTTCTGGAAGACAGCCCAGCAGGAAGAACAAGGGCTTTAAAAACTGGAGATAAAATACTTGAGGTAAATGGAGATAAACCTTCCTTTTTAGTCTGAGAAATAAAAATTGTCTCAAACGGCTTTGGGTGGAGAGAGGAACAAAATACTGCCACCACTTCATGAGGTATTGGCAACACTTTGTTTTGAAAACCAAAGGAAAGCTCTGGTGGTGTTTCTTTTTTTTAAGGTCTGACTATGGAGCTCTTTTAACTTTCTCCTCTGTATTTAAGAAAAGATGTGTCCTGGTGTCTGAGGGGGAAGTGAAAAAAATGGGAGTGTCCTCCTCCTGTACAAATGGGGAATAAGTTACAGCCTATCTGTGAGCATGAATTTAATATATACAAGGACACAGAGTGTTCATACTGAATTATGGGCTGTTATTTTGTGTGTGTGGATTTAGAGTGGTTAACTGATAACCACTGTTTGGGATAAATCCCTGATTCTGGCAGGTGCTGGGGGGGAAAATGTCATTTCTGCCTCTCACCTCTGGTTGATTTTTTTACTCATTTTTCTCCAAATTAATACTTCAGGATCTGGGGTGCCAAGCTGATAGTGCTGTTCAGGTTTAGTTTACAAACAGGTACAGCCTGAAGGAGTTGGATCTAATGTTATGTAACACTTTGACAATCTCATTCCTTCTGTTTTTATCTAGAAGAATTGGTTTGGGCAACATATGGCCATCTTTTAATTATGAATACCAAGTAATACACTTTTCTTTAAACCATCATCAAATCATACTTTACAAATAATTACTCTTGACTGTTTCTGATGCCTTCCTCAGATACAGTAATCTGCTGCAAGTGTGTGTGATGCCTTGTAATGACTCTGTAGCTAATAAAAATAAACTCTGTTTGTCAGGTTTCTGGGGTAGACCTACAGAATGCCACCCACAAGGAAGCAGTAGATGCCATCAAGAATGCAGCAAATCCTGTGGTGTTTGTAGTCCAGAGCTTGGCTAATGTACCAAAAGTAAGTTTATTTCTATTTTTATTCCAGAACTTAGTAAATGCATAACATGCATCTTACTTTAAACTTGGCTAAACTCCTTTCAGCCATTTCTGTCAATTTTTGTGTCCAAGGATGGATCCTTTCAGTCAGTTACAGACCAATTGATTGATTGATTACTTCTCTGGCCTAATTGAAAACCTCATTTGCCTAATTTACATGGAGTGGATGTAAATCTGTTGACTAGGTGTTAATTCAACTCTCATACCTGTGTAGGAAGAGTCTGGCCCTGTGCATTTTAATTTGCCCAGATTTTATAATCTAGAAATATACTCTATTATCCAGAGGAGCAAAGCTGGAAATAAAATTATTCAGATTCAGCAGCTCCTTGTGAAATGTGTCACCAGAGGGACCTGGAAGAGTTACCTGGGAGCAATTTCCAAGAGATTTGAGACATCTCCTCATCTTTGAGGCAAGAAACTTTTCAAAGCCCTAGTAAGAGCAGGCATACAATTCTACCTGCCTGAAGTCCACACAGGAACTCCAAACTTTTGATGTAAGAATGTAATTCAGTAAATCCAATGAAAGAATGTAATTTATAGACTGCACTGCAGTGCCCTTTTACACTGGGCAAAGTGCAGAGTGCACTGGGGAGCTTTGCTGTTGTCAGGAGCTGATTTTGGATGTTTGTTTTGCAGATAGAATCCTCTCTCTAATGTGGGTAATGTACATTGGTTTTCAGGTGGTTTCTCCTGCCCAGCCTAAGGGAATCAAAGTCAGCAAAGATCAGGATGCAGACAAAGAAAATAAGAGTGATAAGGTATTTATTTCATTCAGTGCTGTACCCAGGTTTTACTAAATCAGATGGTATAATAGCATGTGTTCTAACTCTATGATAAGCTTCCTCCCAAGTCTGAAATTAAATTTGAAGTGTTTTGTTGAAATATCTTTGATTCTGCGACTTTTTTGCCAAATTCCTGCCAAATAATCTGACATTCATTCTGTGGGTGTCTGCTGGGTGCTGAAACCCTGTACTTAGCACAGCTCCTCACTGTCAGCCCTCTGAAGTACCTGGTTTGCTCCGTGTGGAGGCAAATTGATTCCCTTTGTTCAGCAGAAACAGAGCAGTGGCAACATGTACACAAATAATATCCTCAGTGTGAGGCTGCCTGCAAGCCAGTGAAATCACCTCATGGGATGATGACATCCACAGAGTCTCCTGCATTTCCCAGCTGTGTAAAATGAGGAAATGACTGAGGGGTCTGGGGCTGCTCAGATAATTGTGAGGCAGTTACTGCACAGTGACTTCCAAACTACTTCACAGCAGCTTTAAAAGAGAAAAAAACTCTGTTTGGTAGAAAACAGGGAGTTTGTGTTAATAAGGGAATAAGGGGAAAATTTAATTTTTCATTTTCAGCTGTATCACTCCTATGGCCTTGGTGTTTTCCTGTGGGATTTGCCCTGACTGAGGAGTGTAGTTCAGGTACTTTGAGGGTGTGAGAGCAGCAGGAGCAGAGACAGAATTAATGCAGACAGTAAGTTTTGCCTGGTGCACTTTAACTACAAATAGGATGAAGTTTCCATTTGATCCTGCCCAGCACTCTGCTGTTTGTTGGGTACTTGAGAGGACCCTTTTACCTCCAAAAGTTTTTGTAAAGGCTCCTTTCAGATCCTGTCAGGGGCAGCAGCGGCGAGGCTCACTTATCAGAAAAGGTGTTGGAAGACATGCTTTCATGCCAGAGGATAATACTTCCAATGAAGCACTTACAATCCCCTTTTCTTGTGTCTTTTTTATCTGTGTTTCTAATCTCCAAAGCTCTCATCCTCTGGCAACGTGCTGCCTTTAATCTGCAGCACTCCGGTGCGCCGCGTTCTGCGGCGTTCCGAGGTTAAAGAGGGAGCCTCGTCTTTTGCAGGCCTTTTTCATCTATTGCTGCTGTAAACTGGTGGGTGGAATAGAGAAGAGCTCCAGTGCATGAATATGTAGCTCCTTTTGGGCTTTGAAGGTGGGCTCACAAAGCAGTGGCAGTGCACTTCTGTGGGGCCGTCTCGGAGTTGGGAAGAGTTGCTATTAGTGGATTATTAGTCCACATCCCTATGGGGAATCACTGATAATTCTAGTCCAGTCTTCAGACAGTCACAAAAGAGTTTGGCTTGAAAGCAGCCACATCCTGCTGGAAAACCTGCCTTTTCCTGAATCTTTTCAAATGCTGGAGGTTTTTCTCTGATTTGTTGGCGTTTATCCTCTTCTATTGATCTGCTTGTTTCAAAATGAGCACTTTAATTTATAAAAAAACACTTAAAACAATAGTGGACAAGCCAGATGTTGACATTATTTTGCTGGTTGGTTGTGTGAACTGTGCTTTTGCCCCTGTGTTGGTACAAAAACGTGGTGCAGTGGAGGAGCCAGGCACAATTTTCTCGTCTGGCTTTTCAGTGGGACAGGAGGGATAAGAGATATTTGTCCCTCTGAGCCCTGGAAAACTGCTGGGTAAGCCTGGATGCCTCGTGTAATTTCACACAGACTTTCTAACAAACATTTGAGGTCTTAAAAAGCCAAAGGGTCAACATTTAGACTGTAAGTTATTACTAAATTACAGCCATAATAAAGTGACTCATTTGTCATGGGGAGCTGAGAGCAAGGCTACAGATTTTCCATCTTTACCTGCTCAGGGAAGCAGAACCCAAGTCCTCCCTTGCTTTCTGGATCATCTGGATTTTGCACAGTTCTGTCTGTGCTGGCTTCAAGAAAAAAGTAGGAGGCACCATTGGGTGTGTTACATCCTCTTGGAAGACAGCTGTTGTGCTTCCAAGTGCTCTCACTGCACACTTTTGCTACTGGTGAATTGAATTAATTCCATTTATTATTGTGTTCTGTGTTCAGTGCAGTGCTTTCCTGTTAATTTTTTAAATGGATGAGATGACAGATATTTTTTACCTCTCCAAATTTTCCACATATTGCAGCTCACTACTTGCACCGTTCTATACTAATTCAGCTTGAAGAATTTAAAAAATCAATACACAGGTTCAGCTTTCATTGCTGAAAAAATGAAATATTACCCTGGGCTTGATGTGTTTGGGTGTTGTGTCATATTTCCCAGCCACAGAAGGAATTAATTACAGGAATTCTGGGTGCTCTAATGGCATCTGCTCCCTGGTGTTCCCTCTCTAAAGTGCATCCTGCTATTAGCAGTGGGCTTGCAGGGGATGCAGCTGAGCATCCTTCAGTGGAGTCCTGGTGCACACCAGGGCAGGACTCGGTTCCCTGGAGCTGGGAAACAATTGCTGAGCTGAGCCAGAGCCTCTCCAGCCTCAGAGCCTGCTCTGTATTCCTGCCATGCGCCGCTATATGCATCATTATAGGAGCTGCCTGTATTTATGTGAGGTAATAGAATTTTATTGGGAGATATAATTCAAAACCTTTATTAAATTTACGCCAAAACACGGACGCACTGCGATGTTTAAATATTCATGTGTGGACTAAGAGGATTGAGTTCTTATTTTATGTATTTTTTAAAAATTGATGTTTATCAGCACCAGACAGTTTTGTTATGGAGGCTTATAAGAAGCAGGGTATAACTCAATGTTTGTTTTTAACCCTTGATTAATGTTCACACTTTGATGCTTATGACAATACACATGTATTTTATCAACAAGTAAATGTGCATGCACAATTGTGTTTTAGTTTTGTTTTTCTTGCTGTTCAGTGTCACTTCTTGCTCTGCTTTCTTGCACAAAAAGCCTTTGCTGCAGAATTTAGCATTGTAATTAAGTGCTGTGTCTGTGCACATGCAGTGAAACAGACAATGGGATTTTTTTTACGTTCTCAGAGGTTACAAAACATGTAACTCATTGTCTTTGAATCCACCAGAGGAAATATGGGGCTCCACCTCCCATGAAGCTGCCACCTCCTTACAGAGCCCTCGAAAGGCACCACGCAGGGGAGGCTGCTCTGGGTGAAGAGGAGGATGAGGATGCTTGTGCAGAGGGTGAGTAGTGCTCCAATCACTGCATCAGATCATGTTTGTGGTGCACAATCAACTGCTGATAAACCTTTTATTGCTTGTGGGAAGTGGTGCTCAGTGTGGCCACAGCATCACTCCTCAGCCTGGTTTGTAACTTAGATGGTTCCTCTCCCCAGCCAGGTCCCAGGGCTCAGCTCTTCTGAGGAGATACAGGAAGGGCTGAGTTTATTTTCAGCCCCTGAACATCCAGGCTGTGTCTGGAGGAGCTGCTGGGGCAGAGATGTCAGCAGTGGCTGGGGATGTTCTGTTTTACTGCTCTGATTTCAGTGGTAGTCAAGCACTTGTAGCTTGAGGACCACTGGTGCAAAAAAAACCCAGAAATCCTGGAGCTGATCCCAGGCAATGCTGTTCAAGCAAGATGGGCTCCTTTAAAAAGAAAAATCTGCTGATTTGTTGTTTTGGTGCTCTGCTGAGGAAAGGATCCCCTGGCTTTGTAGCACCCTGCATGGGAAGGGTTCTGCAGTTGTCCCATTTTGGGTTTGGCAGTGGTTTGTGGTGGTGCTTGCTCTCTGGAAGAGCAGGGACCTGAGGAGCAGGAAGCAGTGCAAGTGGAGAGCAGAGCTCCTGGCAGCATGATTTAGATTCCAGCTGCTTTGGAACCACAGCTTTGGTTAAATGGAATATTGTTATCCATAGCTTATCTTGCAGTAAAATATTTAGGAGTACTGAACCTGCAATTAGGAGTCCTAAATTACTTTCTAAAATCAGTTACCTTTTTTTAAAAAAAATCTTTATGCTTTTTTTGTGCCAAATCAGCATAAGGTGAGATGAGGCCTTGCTCCAGCTGGTCTAGTGAAGGTGCCCCTGCCCGTGGCAGGAGGTGGAATGAGATGATCTTTAATGTTCCATCCATCCCTATAACATTCTGTGATTCTGTGTGGGCTGTTGTTGGGGTACAGTTTGTATTTTATTTTTGCTACAGTGATTTTCTCATCATCCTGAGCTCTCAAACAGACTGGATAAATCTCCAATTGTAACAAACTCATTCCAGCTCCAGTTATTGAAGTTCTAATTCCCAGTTAAAGGGTAGGGTTGATAAGTAGGCTGACACCTGAGTTATCTAATTAGGATATGCCTCAATCCAAGTGCTTGCTGGGCCTGAGTTAATACTTTGCACAGAAGTAATTCCTTATTCATGGGCTTGGTCATTTTTTAGCTCTGCTGCCATCCCTAATGATATTGCTGGCTGAGGCTGGAAGCTGAAAAGGTAAAGCTGCTGCTGATATTAAATTCATCAATCCTCCCAGACTTGGCAGCAGCACACAGATCTGTTCAGGGGAATCTCCTCTCTTTCCTTTCTACTGACTGAAGATGAGTGTTTTGCTGTAGCCATCTTTTCCATGAATCTTGGGAAACAGAGATATATTCTTCCTCACCTCATTCTGTTCCTTTAAAAATTAAGAACAGGCCAAGGAAGCCTAAACTAAGTTTGTGCCTCAGCCCCTGCAGTAAAAAGCATGTTAGAAATGATCCAAGTGTACTTAATGGCATTAAGCATCTTGGCAGCTGTGGAATGGCCTTTTACAGAGTCCCTGTTCTGTGATCATGAAAAACAAAGTCTTCTCTGCAAATTCCAGGACAGTGTTGTTTCTGTGAACTGCTTGATGCTCATAACTCTGTCCTGGTTCTTGAGCAGCTTTCCCAGAAATCCCAACCCGACAAAACTTTTCTTTCTGAACTGCCCATTTGTGTGTTCATATTGCTCTGTTCCTTACCCACTTACCCAGCTCATTCCTCTGGGTTTGAAACTTAACTAAAAATACATCAACAGGTGAGCTGGATTTATTGTCTTCCTTATTTAGAAGATAAGGTTCCTTCCAAAAGGAAGATGTGGTAAATTCACATCATAACCTCTCCTTTATTTGCTTCCTGGAGTTCTCAATCTCTGTCACAGCATGGAAAGCTTTGGAGGGCATTTTGAGGTGGGACAGCTGTTAAACCTGTCCTCTTGTTTTGCTCCTGATGGATTTTACTTTATTTTTTAGCATTCTTATTAACACAGCTGCAGTGTCAGGAACCTGCTCATCAATTTCTTTCAAACTCCAGAAATACTTTATTTGCTCTGCTTGACATTTTTTGTCCTTGCTTATCAATTCTTTCAGCCCTCCCTCTCATCTTTTGTCTCCACATCCTCCATCATTCCCCAGACTGAAAAAGCAGGGCATTGTTAGTCTTCCTGCGATATTTGAGAATTTTTCTTCCCTTTCTGTCCCATCCACATGGCCTCAGAGTCCCCATGTTTTGTCTGTTTTCCCCTTAAAGTGGCTGAATAACCTTTTGGTGTTGATTTAATTTCCCCTAAAGTCTAAACCCATTTGCCTTTTGGCAATGCTCCCTTTTATTTCTGCTTTCCCACTGCTGAAACTGGAGCTCTCATTGCTGACCTGGAGCCTGAATTCCTGTTTGGAACAAACACTCATTTCTTGTACGTGTTCTCCCTTTTCTTTCCAAGGGTTGGTTTTGATCCAAAGAGGGCAAATCCTTGCTGGAATAGAACTGTGAGGTAGTTTTTGGTTTAGAGAAACCCCAGACATCTCCTCCATGTTTCTGTGGTTTAACAAGTTTAAAGTTCCAGGTGTTTTGTTGTTTGGTTTTTGGGATTTTTTTTCCCAGATGTGACTCTTGCACCCAAGACCCTTTAGTTTCAGATCTGCTTCTCCTTTGCTTCATGCCTCTAGAGTTTCCAACATGATTTCCCAAGTTCTTAGATGGCTTTTCCTTGACTTTGAAGGCAAGTTGAAAGTTGTATTTCCTCTTGTTTTATTCCCTCTTCTGGTGGCACTGCCAAATCTTTATCTGTACCCAGCTCTAACCCTGTGTGTGGGTTTTCTTTTCTCTTTGCTTTGAGGTTGCTGTTTCAAGGCTTTATTTTTTATTTTTTTTTAAATGCCTGGAAACAGTTTTGCACAACTTGCAGCGTGTCCATCCATCCTGCTGCAAAAGGAGCTTTCAAAATGCTTCATCCTCCAGACGTGAAATATTTTGGAGTTTTCCCATCATTTGCTTGCCCATGACCTGTTTTGGAGAAAGAGGTTTTTTTATTAGCCTTCCCAAATCTGAAAAACACCAAGTTGTGAATGGATTTTTTTTCTTCTTTTTCTTTTTATTTTTTTTTTAAATCAAAACAAGTGCAAGGAGGGGAAGGCACACAAAGGAGCTGTTTGTGCCTGTGAGCAGCTGTGCTGCAGGCAGCAGCAGGCACTGGTGTGTTTTCCTGCAGTGGGGATGGCTGGAGGTGTGCCCCAAGAACCTGCTAATGGACCTGTGTGCACCCCAGGGTGGCTCACTGCCATAATGAGGGCTAGGTAGTAAAAAGAAGCAGAGGAAATGGATGGGCAGAGCAGTTTGTGATGGAATTTTTGGTGAGGTTTTCCTTGGGGGAATTGCTGGCTGGGCACTTTCGGTGTGCTTTTGTGACCAAGTTGCAGCAAATGTGAATTGGACAGGAGAGAGCTCAAAAACTCTTCTAGAAAAACTGAAAGGACAACTGAAAGAACTTGAAATCCTTAATTTCAACTGTTGTTCTGTCTTTTGTGGAATCTTTTGTCAGTTGGTTGACTGGGATCGATCTGGTTGGTTTCAAAAAAGTCCAAAATAATAAAAATGGATGGTAATAAAAAATTTGTGGAAGGTGGCTTGGATAATGGACTAAGCTACTGCTGTGCTCAGACTTCCTGTCTGCAAGGATATTTAACTGTATCTAATAAGGGGATAATAATGCCCCCTTCCTCTTATTTTGTCTACAGGTAATGTAGAAATCAATGAAGCTCTAAGAAAGCATAATGATTTATCTTCCTGAGATGCCTTTTTGAGGAACAGTGGTTTCTCTGCTACAGCAAAAGATTTTAAAACTTCTCTGGAGTTTTGACTTTGCATTCTTGACTCAGAGGGTGGGGAGACCCTGGCATGGAGGAGTTGTGAATTCCCCATCCCTGGAAGTGTCCAAAGCCAGGTTGGGTGAGCTTTAAGGTCCCTTCCATGGTTCTGTGATTCCCCCATGGTTGTGATGAATCTGTGGGTGCAGGAGGGTTGGGTTGGGATTGGGCAGCTCTTAACACACCTGAGGATTCTGGCAGCATCCAGGTGCCAGAGATGTCTGTGATCAGTGACAGCAGAAAAATAAAAGATGGAAACAAAGGAGTGCAGGTCAGTTGAGAGTATGAGGAGAGTGTGGTCAGGTTGGTGGGGTGGGCAGGAACAGGATCTCTGGAAATGTCTGTGCACTGCTGTGGGCGAGGATGACAACGTGAGGATCAGCATTTTGGGAAAATGCCAGGATTATTAACAAATGACTAAATAAAAGCCAACCCACTCATAATCCCTGGGCATCTCACTGTTTGGAGTCTGGTGTATGCAAAGTTGTGCTGAAACAAAGGAAAAGCACTCCTGACTTTTACTGTTCATTTAGGGGGGGATCAGCTGAAAGTGTGGATCTCCAGTGGAGGAGCTTGTGCAGCCAAGCACTGCCTCTCCAATAGATGTCACTGCAATCAACAGCAAACACAGATGATGCTCTGAGGGGAAGATGTAGCTGGGAAAAAGGCTTCAAGCTTTATGAAAACAAAACATTGCAAAAGTAGTAATTGAGAGATTTAATGTTCTTAAATACAGCACCAAGTGTGTTAAATACAGTGGATTTTCTTAGATCAGGCAAGAGCCAGGATTAGACAAATAGAGCAGAGACTTTCATTTTTCAGCTCTGTGTTAATCTCTATTTAATGTGACTCTGTGCTGCTAATCTTCTTTTCCCATTCTTGTTCTGACCCATAATTAGCTCAAATACATGGAGTTTAAAACCAGCCCTGAGATCAGATCCAGAACGAGCCACAGAGCTGCCCTGGCACACTGGGATGGGTGAGGGAGGTGCTGTCCCTGCCCTTTGAGGCTGTGGGTTCATTTGGGGTTTTGTTGTTGGGCTGGTTTCTTCACTCTCTTTGTGAGTCACACACACAGTTATCATCTGA